CCCACTTTGACACTATTAACATTTTTTATATTTCAGCCTTCATTTTATTCAGAAAATCAAAAATATTGGTTTATTCTGATATATTTTAATCATCTTTTTCATCCTCACCTTGGAATAAAGTTATAATTCTTTCAAAATACTCTTTAAAATTTTCATTTTGCATTTATTTTAAATCAGCTTTAGTATGATGCGATTATTCATATTTACTAATTTAGTTTTAGAGAGAATTAAGAAAAAAAATATGCATCTTTACTTAAATTTCCTTTTTATAATTTTGAATTAGAAAAGAGTCATTTCTAAACTATTTTACTTCTTAAAGTAATTTTGTCAGTTGTTGCTTTGATTTTGCTATTTTTTCCTCTTAGATTTTTACAACATTAATTAAGATTTATAAATGAGTTTGATATTTTTTATCAGAAATATTATTGTGGTTATTTTTGATATTTTATTAATCCTAAAGAGCAATTTCAATTTTTTCATATTTTTAATTATCCTATTACTCAGAAGAAGATAAATGGGAATTCCTTTCTTCTATTTTCTCTTTTTCATCATAATTATTTTATTTTATTTTATCTTGTAATTGTTTTAAGTCATTTAAACAATCAATAATAGGAATTGTAAAAAGTTTTAAATTTTTATTTAATGAATCCCTCAATACTGTAACAACTTTATCCATTTGATTTATAAATTATTGAAAATGTTCTATATTTTAAAAAATTTTATTTTTCTCCTCATTCCTTAATTATTATAAAACATTCTCATATTTCTCTCTCTCTATAATCAATTATTATTGATTAAATTTTTCATCAGACACATTTTTAATTGATTCATCAATTGATATAACTGCAATAATCTTCATATCTATCACTGAAATTGAACCAGATTCTTCTATAAATATTTCATCAAATTCCTTCTGAATCATCTCTAAATCTGTTTTTTCTGATTTAATAATTTATTCATCTATACCTAATATAAATATTAAGTATTCTATTGTTCCTTGATACTTATATATATTATTTTACAAGTCTTACTCTGTGACTTTCATAGTTATTAATTCAGGTAATATTTATTTTTAATATTAATTTTGGTTGATAATTAAATTTGAAGGATAATTTATAATTACATTTATGAGAAACTAATCTAAATTGATAACTTCTTATAACTATTAATAATCTTATGATTGAACTGTTAATATTTTTTAAAAAGACTCCTTGAAAACAGTTAATTGTAATTAAAGCTTTAAATTATCCAAACTTTAGTTGAATATAAATGAATATGATAGCATATCCAAAAGTTGTTATTTAATGTTTACAAATTCTTCAGCTTAAGAAAAAGACTCAATTTCACATTATAGAATTAGAATTTTTCTAAAACTTAAAATAAATTCATTAACATCTTTTTAAATTTCTACCTTCTTGTTTTCATAAAAATAATATAATTTATGCAATAAACTCCTAAAGAATTCAATTAAGTTATTCTTTTGAAGTTATATAACTTCTAGATTTGTGATTTATTTTTGAGAATGTTCAATAAGTTTTAAAATGCTATGAGCTTTTTTTAAATAGCTCTTTTAGTTAAGAGTTGCGATTGGTAAGGCATGAAGCTTCTATTAAAACTCATTGATAAATAAAAACTAGTTATCTTTCAGATTTAGATTTTTTAACTCTACTTAAATTAACTCTTTTTATTACTAAAGCATTTTTATTTCATCAGTTTCAACATTTTTCTTGCTGAATTGATTTCTTTAATCATTAATTACCTAAATTGTTTTTAGTAATATTTATTCTAAGAGTCTCATTAAATATTTAAGCTATTACAAAATATTATATTCTAATAAATTCTCTTATTTGAATTATTCAGACTGACAATAATTAATCTAATTCAGCTTAAGAATTTTAAGTATATTTTGTGCGTTTGTTAAATATTCTTATATGTTGTAAATGATCTTTTTAAATTAAGAATTAACAGTCCATTATAATAGTCTTGTATAAACTTGCTAATCTTTCTAAAATTGTTTCTAGATTTTCAATATTTCCCCCAAGTTTTGATCATTTTATTTTATTAAATTAATTAATTTAGTTGAAATTATGAAACTTAAAAGCTTTTACATTTTCTTGGAAGTCACAAGTTTTTCTTAATTTTAGGAATCTTCTTTAAATAAATCTAGTTTACATTTTAAATATGAACTGAAAGTATATGGTGTGTTTTAATTTTATTCATTCATTAAAAATTGTTTAAGTATTAGAAAGCCTTCCCATCCTTTGAAACTTTCTTCTAACATTAATCTATCAGGTTATAATATTTTATTATTTTTAAGTTAATTAAGTTGAATAACAGCTGAATCTTTATTATTATTTATTTATAATAATATTCCTCTGTTAGTATAATCCTTCCAAATCTAACTTATTGACTTTACCCCAATATTTAAAGAGTTATTCAACTGACCTAATTTTTTTATTCTTATTAGAGGATTAAAGACTAATATTTTACCAATCATTTGGATCCAGATATAATGTTCCTTCCAATTTTTTGAACTTTTAACTATTGTGTCATATATTGCCTCAATTTGTTAAATTATTTCTTCTAGATTTTTGTATTTTTCATATTTAAAATAACTTATTACCTCCCATTATAACATATCTATTTGATAAAAAACTTCATATATTTTTCTCTTTTTAGAAATATCTTACATTTTGCAAAGAAGGCAGGCTCCCTTAAATAATGATTCAAGTAACTCAGTGTCAGGGCTCATTTTGATTAGAGAACTTACAATACCTTTTAAGGATCCTTTTAATATTTCTTCCTTCTCTTTACTATTATTAGAAGCAATCTCAAAAGAAGTTTTGGTTAAGAAAAGAAATAGTTCGATTTAATTTTAAATTAAATCATTCCTTTCGATTTCTATTTATTATTATAATTCATCACAAATATCCAGAAAATAATTTTAGGTTTCACATTTCATAAATCTCTCATCATTCATTAAATGAAAGCTAAATATTACTTTTGAAAGGGAAGTTGTTATCTATAAAATATATAAACACTTAAAGGAATCTGATCTGATGTAAACTTAACAGCTAATCAATAAGCGTCTTATCCCATCTAAAATTAAGTCGTATGATTTCTTAACACTTTATACATTCTTATTGATTTTGTAGATGTTTTCCTCTTAAAAAATAAACCACCGTATTGCTATCATTATTTCTTATGATTCCTATTTGTTAGCTGCAACATTAGCCTTAGATTCGATTATTTAAATATAGTGATTGAAACTTAAAAAGAAATCATAAGCATCAGTTTGAATGGAATTGTTTTAAGATTACAAAGTGATGTTAATTTTTGTCATTCCACAACCTCCTCCTCTTAGAATGAATGTTGAATAATTGATTTGGTTTGGCATTATTAAATATTCAAATAATCAATCCTATACTAAGATCAACTTGCCGAAGGACCCCCTAAAAAAAAAATACTTCGTCATTTTATCAACACTATTAAATAACGCTTAAAAAAAAGTCTTCATTGGAGGCTTCGAACTTGTGTTTTGAGCAATCTCTTATTGTTTCAACACCCTTTACAGTAGTTCCTATATTGGATTATTTATGATTAAATGATTATGATTATCTTAAATCTTTGGAATGCCATTGAAAACAAATAATTCTATGGTTTCATAATGCTCCACACAAAATAAATGTTAGAAGTAATAAGGGATCATATTTTGTGGAAGATGCACATACATACACATGACTATACAAAGGGTCTCTTTTGTTTCTAAAGGAATGAACCAAACTAAAGAAAAATTCTAAAGGAAATTATACTACATTTAAGACTATACAATTGTAATTCGAAACTAACTTCATTCTAAACTCAACATTAAAAAAATTTGTTATTTATTAACCTTGTCTAAAGTTACTAATTATCGATACTTTATCAATAGTATAGTTAATATTTTCACTAAGTTAAATGATTATTTTAATTTAAAAAAAAATTATCACATTAGTTAATTAAAGAAAATAGTATTAATTGTAAATTATTAACATATTTATAAATCATTTTTTGTTGTATTTTCTATTTTATTTGGAGTCCTCTGCTAATTAAAATCTTTTTCCTAGCAAATGTTATTTAAAATTTAGAGAAAGAGGATACATCAAAATCTTCTTAGTGAAGATGATTAAAGATTAAATAAGAAATTATAAAAACTATAGATGACTCTCTTGACTTTTTAGTAATTAAGAATAGTTTTGGCTTTAGTTTTTAAATTGGATTAATATTTAGTATGCTCAAAACTTATTAGAAAATAGGATTGTGAATATGGGGATTGTATTTGGAGGACGAATAAGGAGAGTACAGAGTGAATATGTATTGATAACGATTTGATTAAGGGTAATGAATAAGATGATTATTGCAAGGGTATATTGCATCCTGCACAAAATTGTTCCAATATTTTTAGTTAATTCACATGATTTATCACTCGAACTTCCTTAATTTTCACAAATATCCTAAATTAAATATTCTACGCATCTTTTGCATCAACACTTTCATCTCCTTTAGATATACAGTATGAGGATATCTGGTTATTGCAAATGAGATTCTGGAAATTTATGGATGAATTGTGTATTGAAGCAGGAATAGAATTGAAAACTGATTAGATATTTTGAAAGATTTTTTGGAAATTTTCAAATTAATTCAACAAACAACTGATAAAACTCTTTTGTATATAATCACATTTACTAGAATAATATACTGTTTATATTTACTTATTAATATATAAATTTGAATCAGAGTCATTAATGTTTTGTATTAATAGGATTTAACTTTATGGTTTTTACTTTGGCACAAGATAGCAGAATTCAGTATTAATTGTAATTTTTAATACATTTAATTAATTAAGCTTTAATTATATAGAACTCAATAATATTATTTATGATTTAATTCCATTAAATTATTTTGTTCCTCATTTCGATAATCAGTTCTGTTGTTGGAAGTGAACTTTAAGTTTCTCTGAAATGCATATTTACATTAATGATTTTAAAAATTATGTTTAAAATGTATATGTACATCATTATAAGATTATGATTGGAGTTATAGGTGCTATTGCTTAATACATTTTGTGTTGTTCAATTATTGAATATTATAATTCAATGCCTAAGACAAAATTAAGAATTTAGAATAATTTGAGAGAAATTTGCTATAGAATTCCTTAATTGATGTTTGGAAGCTTAATAACAATAGTATTTTATTTAAAATTACTAAGACATTTTATTATTATATTTATCCCTATACTCCATATTATAAGTATTTTGAAATCAATGAATTTAGATTACTTGATTTATTTTCAATAATATTTCAATGGATTTGGATTATATTTATGTCTTAAAATTTTATATTTAGTTAATGGTTTTTTCGATTCATAGGATGCTATATTTAAAATATTTTTATTAATAT